AGGGGGAAGCAACCCGCAACCACACCACACCACAGGAAGGGGGAGGAGGAACCATTGGGGGGGGGAGGGGGGGGGGCCGGCCGAACCGGGATCATATATTATGCCGTCTGCTTCAGCCAGTCCGCACCTATGGGCAGTCTTCGGATCGGAGAGAGCTGGACTGTTGATGCCAGAAGCGTGTAGCGTGGGTCGTGGCTTCGGAGCTCGTGGCAGAGAAGCGAGCGGGGAAGCAGCGAAGCAGCCGCTGAACTTGGTCTCTACGTTGAGAACTAATTCTGCCGTCGAAATGCCTTGTGTGTCTCAGCTAGGCGGAGGCGCAAAGGTGGACACGAAAAAAGCGATGCGGAAACGCTCAAAGCCCCATCTAACATTAAAAAATTTAAACATGCGAAATACGCGAATCGGGAACAGCGCGGTCTGTGGAGACAGGACGCCAGGGAGTAAGCAAAGGTTGCCAAGAGGCCTTCAGGCTATGCAGCCAGAGGAAACGGCCTAAGAAAGCGTGTATAGACGACAGCGAGTGTCACGAGCCGCCGCCGCCGCCTCTGCCCAAGCGGATCGGAACTCGAAACAAGAAGCTGTTTCGCTAGATAAAGCATCGAACGCGTTTTGCGCATGGCGAGGAAAGTCCGATGCTAACCTTTGGGTGGTCCTTGCGCTGAAAAGTCCCCCAGCCGGCGGGGGGCACTTTTGGAGTCTACCTTGGAAAAACAAACAGGGGCCAATGGCCCTGCTGTGCGGCTGGGCTAGTGGCGAGGGCCAGATTTTCAGTTTCCCGATTCTGTGCATGCCAAGGAGGCATGCTACTTCTAGTGATGCGGCTCGGAACAAAGAACTGCTGTGCAATACCAAGCGCTGGCTCCGTACGGTGCCTTTGGATTGCAAGCCTTTGGTTCTCGAGTTTGTCACCTTTGGCAACATCCGAAATGCTGTTGCGTGTTCAACTCCCGTCGGGTTTAGGATTTGCCATGGGTTGTGCTCGCGGATGGTTTGTTCATCATTCGAGAAGTGTATGGGCGGCTTTAGGGCGTGGCGAGCTTGCACTTGTCCCGAGAGCACCGATAAGCTGAGCAGCACCAACTACCCACCCTGTGCCGGTTCGAACTGAGCGGCCCATGAGGTTAGTCATTCTACCGAAGGCGAGCAACGAAAGACTGCCCTGCCTCAACACGAATATCATGCAGTCGGTCAAGATGGGGCGGCAACGAACCTGCAATGGCGGCATCGCGGCTAGCAGGAGTCTTCTATGCAGGCACACCTTACATGCACAACTGAGACGCTGTTTTCAAAACAAGAGGCCATCGCAGGCATCTCGCAAGTCTGCGACGGCGAGGCGCTGCAGCAATCTGTCTGCAGCCTGTTCCTTGGCAAGCTCGTTACATCATCCTCAACACGTGCGTTGAGAAGCTACGGAGTGACAAATTGCTGAGCCCGGCGCAACTGACAAGTTGCTCCCTATCTGGTCTCGTTGCTGATCAAGCCAGGCAGGCCTGTGATCCACTCGGGCAATCTACAAATGTTCGCCGTAGCTGTAGAAGTGAGTGCGGCAGTGCGGCCTGAGCCGCAAGCTGCCGGCAACAGCAACAAGCCTTGCCGCTGCGTCCGAGGCTGACATGAGGCCACCCACGTCCTGCTGGAACATAAGCATTAGCAAGATTTAGCAATTTAGCAAGCTTCCACCTTTGCTGCATGCTGCTCATGTGACATTCAGCGGCCCGGCCTCCTCCTCTCCAGGAGCACTGCGCTGTGCTCAATTCTATGGGCTGCACAACTTCTCAGCCAAATGCTGCCCGACGATATCAGGATCCGTCTGTGCCCCAGTCCCCAGGTCGATTCGCCCGGTACCCAACGGCCGCATATCTTGTCTTGGTGGACAGCAGTTCAAAGCCTCTTTGGGCTCCGCTGCGACAGATCTCAGAGTATCCACAAGACCAGGAAGTACAGCAAAGACAGGCCTGCGCATCGCGTTTGTTTCAACCGGCATGCCACGAAAGCCCCAAGCTCGTGGAGCAATCGTCCCATGGTTTTCCAGCAAGCCTAGTATCGAGAACGAAAAGCGCTTCGAGGATGATGGTCTCAGCATGCGCGGGAAGGGGCGAACAGCACAAGAGTCATCCATCTGCACAAACTCTCAGATCATCGCCCTTCAAGCAGAGATGCCCCCTGCCAGTTGAGACCAAAGATCACCTCGGATCGGAACAAGCGAAGCCTCTGATGCCACAGCGTGATCGAGAGTCAAGACCCTGGCTGGATAGAAGCCCTGTCCAGCTGTAAAGCCGTAGGACCTGTGATCCAAGACCAGCGGAGCTCGGGCAGTGAGCCGACAACTTCCGAAGCCCCCACTCCGGAGTTCCTCCGTGTTGAAAAGCCTGCAGGGCCAGCACCTGCACATGCGACGCTCACATGCCAACACCAGGACTTGGTCTCGGCCCGGCCCTTATGTGTAGGCCCTTCGGCTCAGGGCACCGATGCGGGCTCCGGCTCTGGGCGTTCGCCGGGCGGCCGTGCAGGCAAATTGGGATACCTGAGGCTCGGCGGTCCCACAAACTGCGCACTTCTCGTTCTGGCACGATGGGAGGGCACGAGTTGCGAGGATCCGTCTGGCTCCCACGCGTATACACGGGAATCACATTCTGGATGGTGACGGAGGCCTTCGCAGAGAAAGGCGCACACTGTTGTGCAGGGCTGCTGAGCGGTATGACGTCACCGCACAGGCCTTGCAGATAGGGCAAGCGGAACCGACCGTTTGCATGCCGCTCCTGACCGCTTGGCTTTGAGTCACTGCTCCATGTTGACGTCGACGGCAAAACAGCGCTCATGCCGGAATTCAGTTGCCCTGCACGGCTAGCTTGGCTGGCCTCAAGGTCACAGCTCATCCAGGAAGCGATGAAGGGGAGTGCCGTGCCACTGCTTATGGTTGGCAGCTGAGCTACAGGCTGCTGTTGAGTTCAACCACTGATGAAGACATCCCCAACAGAACAAGTGACCTGAGCCATGAAATCTATGTCACGCAGACGTGGGCCGTAGTCGTATGCGAAATGGACCGAGACCCTGTCCACAGCGAGTGACCACCGGCTCCACAGCTTGCTCTAAGCAGATGTTGCCTCAGGCCAGTCATCGAAAGTAAGAAACGCTTGCACGAAGGCAAAGAGCATAAGGATCCTGCATTCGAAACTTGCCATATGTGCACATGCTACATAGCGACGCAGCACATGAAGAGTGTCTGTTGCGCGTTGCGGAACGATGTCTTCGTGATGTGCCGTGAAGACACCGCTAAGAACAGGTCTTTTGAATGAGCGTCGGTGTGTCACCACACCAAGCAGACCTTTGGTCGAGACACGGGCCCCTGAAGACGCGGGATTGTTGAGCTTACGGTGTCTTGCAAGAGCGAGCGCTTTCGCGAGTCTTTGAGCCAATATGAGCCAACGAACGGAAACCGACAGGCCGGTGGGAATGACAAATCGCAAAGTCCACGAAATTCTACGAACCTGAACCTAGTCGAGGCTAGGAGAGGCGATAATGCAAATGCATGGGTTGCCAATGAGGGAACCATTGTATTCCACTTACAATCCATAAACACGATCCGGACTGTCATGTATGTAGTGTGAATCACAGTTGAATCTCTGTCAACGATATATGTAAGATTCAATTCGTTGATTGCACCTCGGAGTGCATGCAACTCATGCCATTCGAAGTTTGAAGCTTATTAACAGGTCAGCGGGTCAGATTGCAGAGCACATAAGAACAGTACTGCAGGTACGTGGATGCGATTGCAGGGCAAAAAAGAGCAACACTTCTGTGTAGGTATGGTAGAATGCGTCCTGCTACGAGAATGAGACCCAATGATGATAGTAAGATTTTGACAGCCCAGACCTTCCAGACACAACATTACAAAGGTGCCTCATATGGATCATGGCATTGGAAAAAGTAGCACAGGTTACAAGTATCTTTCGGTCTCTGGTTCATAATTACGTGGCCTACACCTGAACTGTTGATTGAGTTGCACCCCGCTGTGCAGGAGTACTGTTTCAGCACATCTTCCAACTAGTATATGTGTTTCGTGACGGGTGACCATAACCTGCTTGGGCTGCTCCTGATACATGTAAGAGCGAGGTTACAGCTGATGGCCGCCTGCAATGTCGACAGACTGCAAGTCTACTTTGTAGCCTTGTATATCAGCTGCGGCATACCAAACGTAAGACTACAAAAAAAGCTTGTGCAACCGCAAGAACTGCAGCTTATGGTTTCAAATCACACTAATACGAACGCTGCGATCAAGTTTTTCTGCCCCTAAAATTGGCATTCATAAACAGGTAGTCAACAAAAGAGTGCTAGTGGCAGCCGGCGGTCATTCGACGAAGACACACTCGAGATGTCAACCGAACAGAGAGCCTCTTCTTGTTGCTTCACGAAGTTGAGGCTTTTGATTGCTGCCTCTTATGAAAACTTGACCTTTGATACTGTTTTGAACAGTAAGATTGTCTCGAAAGCTTCCACTTTGGCTGAAGATCCTCAGTCTCACCGGTCGCCAAAGAGCAATGAAACCAGACCACAAAAGCCGCGAAGAAGTACCACGAACGTCTACGCGATTCTGAAACTGACGTTTCTGTCTCTCCAGGTGGGCCTTTGACGCGGTCTCTTCTATCAGACTCCAACAGCTTTCTCTTTGTCCCTCCATAGTCTGGCTCTAGCAGACTCTAGCATCCTCACAAGGACGTCCAACGACTAGCTGCCTAGCTCATGGATCAACCAGACTGTGCTCTCTCAGTCCAGCAGAAGCACAGTACAGCAAGACATGTTGTTTTTTGTGGGGGGTTGCATTGCCGCAGAAATTTGTACTTCACAGTCCATGCCACTCCATGAACCACTTCCTAATGATACTTTCCTTGAGAAAGATCTCTTGCCACCAGGCCCTCATTGCCAGTATAAAGCACCTAGACACGCGCCTTGCAATGAAATGCAGAACACCGAACACTGGTATTGACCGATATGTTTGCGGAGGCTTATGCGAAGAAACGGTCCAGCTCCAGGGTTGCAAAGCAGCCTCGTCTGAGAAGCAAGAAGCAACATGGTTGTGAAGCTTCAGCCGGTTCGGAGCAGGACCAAACCCCTAATATTGACATTGTGCTGCTACTTTTTAAGTGCACATAAACAGTAGCAGCACAATGACCAGGCTAACACTGATCAACAGCTGCTTACCGCAGTTGTATGGCTGACGAGTGCCTAAATGGCACGAAACCGGTACCCGTACAGATCAGTGCCCGAAAGCGACGCTTGCGCTCCTTCCTTGACTAGTGTCTTGAAATGGGGTTTGCCCAAGGTTCACGTGGGCCCGTGGCAGGGGCAGGGAAGACCCACAGAGCAAGGCTTCGGCTGCTCGTCTACAGCCGACAGCACTGTTCCAACGGGTGTAGAGGCATTTTTCCGTATGGCTGTCGAGGACGTCCACCCCTAAACTTCCAACCAGCAAGCAAGGCACGCATTGTGCTCCACCCAGCTTGCAAGGATGACGTCTACTCGGCATTGAGACACTAGTCAAGCTCTAGCTGGAGGGCGTAGTGCGTGTGCCACTTCTGGGGTCTATGTACAGAACGTGCTGGCGGCAGCTCCGGCGGCCTTCAAATTAGAAGTCTCTCTAGCCCTCGTTCCAGGGTCTGGGAAGGGTTCGCTCATCTGCATTTTGCACACCGGCTCACCTTCCTGCAGTGGTTGCTGAAAGGTTTCAAAGCCACGCCACGTGGAGGACCGGACGCAGGATACACGGGGTCCTCGCCAAAGCTAGCTCTCCGCAGCATCACCTGCCATCGCCGCATCCTCAACACAGTGGGCCGAGTCGAATCGACGTCTCAATGTGACCATCGGGAACAGTACTGTCGTGAAGCAAAGATGCTGTACTTCCAGAACCATGCAAGCTCCGAGGAAAGCCTCACGTGTGTGCGGCCTCGTCGCAAAGCGCATCTGCAGCGGCCCAGCTTTCCTGCAGAAACACATCATGATGCTCTCTGCTCTTCGTGCAGCAAACCTTGAAGCGATAGCTTCTTATGCAAGGGAACCTCCACGATCTCGGTCACTCTGCGATTGTACTCTCGCCGGTTCTCAGACCTTGCAGGGAACCAAAATTTCTCATCCCCTGCGTGCTCCTGACTTGGCTGGTCTTCTCCTGCGTCTCTCCCTCCCTCCCTCCCTCCCTCCCTCCCTCCCTCCCTCTCTCGTCTCCGAGGTGTTGGCCAAAGCTTCGCAGCTTCGCTATTCGCCGGCGAGCTCGGATTTGGATCCGTCAGCAGCGACTCGCAAGTCCAGAGTAGTAGTGGAAGTTGAATCAGAAGCACAAGTCGAAGTAGAAGTAGTTAGTAGTCGTCGTGGAGGTGGTGGTAGTGGTGCAGTAGTATAGTGGAGTAGTAGCAGCAAATCGTATGATGACGATGCGGAGGGAGCCGAGCAACATGTGAATTGTATTGTTGACGTCGTCGTCTTATGTTGGCAGCCTGCCTAAAAGCTCTATCTCGTGCTCCATAGACTTCGCATACTCATATGTACATATCTACATATCTACATATCTACATGTCTTCATATGTACAGATACAGTTACATATACAGACATATACATATACATATGCATATACATATACATATACATATACGTATACATATATATATATATATCATATATATACATATAAACATATACATACATGCTTATATCCATATACACATATACACAGATACACATACACACATACAATCACATACATACAAATGTACATGTGTATATATATATATATACATCTGTATGCATACCCGTACAAACTATGCATGTGTGTATATATATATATGTATGTATGTGTACCTTTCTACACAAGTAGTCTGTACATACATACCTAATAATATGCTCATACACATACACACCTGCAAACCTGTAAGAACCATCCCAGGAGCACGGTGATGCTTCCAACACTACCCCATGAGTTTAACATGCAGACGGGCTCTGCAGAACACGCACCACACCGCGGCGGGAACATGAGTCCGCAAACAAGGCTAACAGACGACAAAAAAGGCGGCTGGAGCACGATTTGGCGAGGCGAACACGAACAAGAGCATGGCGGGCAGACAATGCAGACCTGTGAGTCATCTAAAGTCATAAATACCTTACAGCGGCAGGATTTCGAGCACGCCCCTGCTAGGAGCGATTGCGAACGACTTCAAGGCCACAATGAGCACATGACCGGAGGGAGCACGAGTTCCACACAGAAACAAAGCAAAAACGCGAGGCATTATGGCCCTTGTGGTAATAACACGATTTAAACACCGAAGCATCGGATTGTCAATGAATGAGGCGTATCGGCGGAAGTGGCCAGTGCTGGATTGTGGAAAGAATGCGACTCTAGTCCAAAATGCGCTCGTCGCCACAGGATCTGCCCGTGCCCGTCGGGCACGCTTCCCGGTCAAAGTAACCCAAATCCGTTTGCGCTTCGAGTTACCACATTGTTCGAGGAAAAAGGGCATGGATTTACCCAGAACCCATGTTGCAAGCCAGACTTGTGAACTTCAAGCTACAGTCACAGCCTTGCTTCACAAGGGGTTTTAAGCTGAACCTAGATTTCATGTGCAGACGTAAGAGTGGCATCATCTCATGACGGCTGTGACATGTTCTGACGCCCGTCCGCGGAAGGGCCTGAACAGAAGTCAGAATCGCTGAGATGTCGTAGATTGGGCTCCACTGGTTCTGCGAGCAGCCAAACATGTACACACAAACCTCCCGCCACCAGCTGACATATTGCGAGAACTCGTCAACTTTTCTGGCGAAGCACTCAGCTTGTATTCGCTGTCAAGCCTCAGGAGGCTACCTACGTCGTCAGACTCAACCTCTCTACATCCTTCCTTCCATCCGCTGGAAACTGAAACGGGTAAGGCCGATCACCTAGCTACGTTGACGAGGTGCACCTCAGCGAGATCTGAGAAATTCTGCGAAGTCCAATTTCGGAATCATCAAGTTGGCGCAACACAGTGACGCAACGATGCACTCCTTTTGCTGCAGATCGCTTTCCGGCAATGGACCGCAATAAACACGGCCACCTATGTACATTCAGAAGTCATTCCGACACCCCGCTTCTTGTCCAACGACCACCTCCTTGGCCTCTGCATTCTGCTGCCACCACCTCCATGCAACACAGCTCTGGAAGACCTTCTCCTCGATGGTGTGAAGACAAACTGCTCCAAGCCGGCCGTCAGCCGGGACACGTCGGCCGGAGGCTGTGGAGAGAACAATGGGTCTCGCGTGGCATCGCGTTGTGGGCCACTCGATGTCCGATGCGATGTTGAAGTCACCGGCTAGTCGGCCAGAACCTTCGGCCAAGAGAGTGCGCTGGAGCTCTGCGACTCCGTATCTGAGGGCTCGGCCCGAAGCCCCTCAAAGACCTCTCCTGCGGCCTCGTTGGGGCAAAGCAGAGCGGAAAGGAGCCGCAGCCTCGCTGGTCTGCCCCACCTGGCTTTGCCCTCCACCGGAGCCTGCTTGAAGACCTCCTCGTTGCGCATGGAGTCCTCGGCGGAACGATGGCCCAACTTACGGCACTCCAAGGCGATCAAGTCCATAACAGCTAAGTTGACTGCGAAGAGCTTTTTGGAGTTTATGAACTCCGTGGTCATGATCAGAAACCTGGCCAGACAAGGATAGAACGCGGCACCAGAAGACTTTGTGCTTTGCCTCCGTCGGCCATCCTCCAGCTCAGCAAGACGGCGGAGCGCTGCTATTTCCCCGGAAGTTACACCACCTTAACAGTGAGGGAAAGCTTTGCAGCAACCCAATCTGCCGCGAGCCCCAACTACACTGCAGATTGAAAGTGAGGGAAGGTCACCGCGACACCCAGGCAGGAAAACGATCCCCGCACTGGAAAGACTGTTTTACCCACTAAAAAACAAGTCACACTCCGCGGATTGGCTCATGGTTTCGCGCGAGGATTCGTGCACGGACCATTCACGCACTGGCGCAGCGGACTCATGCACCGAGGACTGGCCCGTTGAAAGTGCCAGATTCGGATGTCAGGATCTTGCACACACTGACCGCCAGCAGATTCGCGCAGCCAAATTTCAAACGATTCGTGCACGAGTGCGGCAGATTCGCGAACAGAAGTGGTGGCACTGTGAACGAAGGAACGACCGACCGGCTGGCCAACCGACCGACCGAGCGAGCGAGCGAACGACAAGCCACGACACCTGCCACTGCAGGGGAAACCGACGAATCAGGAGAAGAGGTTCCGCAGGAAACCCCAAACCCTGAAGAAAGAGGGAATAACGATATAACAGCCCAAACCCTCGAATGGCATGGAGGGTAGGCACTCAAAAGTATGAGGACAGGACGCCAGCGAAAGCCATAAATTGACCAGCAGATGGAGGAGGGTAGGAAGCTCACAACTGAACAGGAGATGGAAGGTAGGTAACACAACAGCATAAGAGGAGGGCCCCGTACCCGAAACCCAACAAATTTAGCACGTGCAAAAACCCGAAACCGTAAAAATAGGTAACCTGTACAAACCTGAACAAAACATGCAGTGATGGAGGTTTGGCAGCTCAACAGTATAGGAGGGCCCCGAATCCCAAACCCAAACGAGAATGGTGCGTGCAAAAAACCTAAACCTTAAAAGTAAATAAAAAGTAGAAACCAGAACAAAACATACAGTGATGGAGAGTAATTAAGCAACTCAACAGTATACGAGGAGGGCCCTGTATTCGAAGTCCTGAAAGAACTGGCGCGTGCAGAGAAGTTAAACCCTAAAACTTCATAACCGCTCAAAACCTGAACGAAACGTGCAGTACTGGAGAGTAGGCAACTCAACAGCCAGATGGATCCCAAACCCTGCAGAATATGGCGCTTGCAAAAACGCGGCAGACAACCGCTAAAAACCTGAACAAAACATGCAGTGGTGGAGGTTTGGCCACTCAACAGTCTAGGCCCCGAATTTCAAGCCAAAAAACCTAAACCATAAAATTACATAATTGTGGAGACCAGAACAAAACATACAGATCAACAGTACAAGAGGAGGGCCCCGAACTCGAAGTCCTGAAAGAATTGGCGCATGCAGAGAAGCTAAACCCTAAAAGTAAACAACCGGTGGAAAACCTAAACAACGAAGCTAAACCCAAAAAGTAGATAACCGCTAAAGGCCTGAACAAAACATGCAGTGGTGGAGGTGTCGCAACTCAACAGGATAAGAAGAGGGCCCCGAATCCCAAACCCTGACGAAAAAGGTGCGTGCAAAAAACCTAAACCCTAAAAGTAAACAAAAATAAAAACCAGAACAAAACATACAGTGATGGAGGGTAGGCAACTCAACAGTATAAAAGGAGGGGCCCCAATTCGAAGTCCTGAAATAACTGGCGCACGCAGAGAATCTAAACCCTAAAAGTAGATAACCGCTAAAGGCCTGAACAAAAAACGACGGAGAGTTGGCATCTCAACAGTATAGGAGGAAGGCCCCGAACCCCAAACCCTAACGAGAATGCTGTGTGCAAAAACCTAAACCCTAAAACTAGATAACGGTAGAAACCAAAACAAAATATACAGTGATGGAGAGTAAGCAACTCACCAGTATAAGATGATCTCGGTCATTTCTTGCGCCAGCCGGAGCATGTCACAGGTAAATGCGATGCCAGATTTAGGCATGCTTCCACGCAGCTCCAGGCAATGGACATCGCGTCTCTCAGCGTCGCCTGGCTGGCTTGCAACTGGCGGCGGGGCCACAAAAGGAAGAACGTCTCCGGAGAGAAAGGGTCAAGGCATCCATGGCAGACGTCATGCCTCAAGGGGGAAAGGGGCAAGAGGCCTTCGTGGCAGTGGCAGCGAGCTTCGCCCCAAACTGTGGGGGAGGTGGCCCATTTACGCTTGAAACTGGCAAAGGATCGGTACTGGCAGCGAGGGCACCTGAGTCGTGCCGCGACGCCACGTAGATGCGGCTTCGGACGCCGATGGCCGGAGTGGCGTCCAGGTAGTCCCGCTCGCCTGACAGCGCACGGGCAGCGCCGCCAGCAGCGAAGGCCCGTCGAGCTGGACCGGCCGGCAAGACACAGGAAGAGAAGAACACAAAGGGATGCGATCAGGCTTAGGAGCCCTAAACCAAAGCCTGAGGCAAGTGCACTGATCCATCGGGACTAGGGGACCTAGACGAGACCGGGGCCCGGGGCTTCCCCGGACCCAGCGTCTTGCACAACAATCCAGTCGTCGGACTGATCGGAAGCGTGGATTGCTTGAGTGGCGACGTGGAGGTGCTGCAGGGCCTCGGTCAGGGAATCCAAATCCACAGAAGTAGATGCCCTATACTTCACCCAAATACCCAGCCGGCCGGGAACGAACGTGAGGCACTGGGGCGCAGCAGGGGAGTTCCGAAGAGGAGTGGGCAAGTCGGCCCGGAAAGCTGGTGAGGGAAGGCGTAGAGGGTCGTCAAGGCCCCGACAACCAGCTCCCTCATGGAACACCGAAGTGACCAAAAGGAACGACGACGGACAGTGGGCGGGACTGGCAGTCCCCACCACCCAGTCGAAGAACCTGAAAAAAGAGTTCAAGAACCCCAACGAGCCAAGCTGGAGCCATGTAGTTTGAGCGACGGCGGTTCATTATCATCCTTATGCGTTCAACCGTTAAAAGCTTGAACAAAACATGCAGTGATGGAGGGTAGGCAACACAACAGTGTAATAGGAGCGCCCCGAATCCCAAACCCTAAAGAAAATGCGTGCAAATAGCCATAACCACAAAAACAGATAACGGTTAAAAACCTGAACAAGACATGCAGTGATGGAGGGTAGGCAACTCAACAGCAAAACAGAAGGGCCCAAACCTGAAAGAAAATAGCCTGCAAAACAAACTAAACCCGAAAAGTAGATAGCGGTAGAAACCAGAACAAAAATAGTGATGGAGAGTATGCAACTCAACAGTATATTGGGATGGCCCCGCACTCAAAGTCCTAAAGGAAAAGGCTCGTGCAGAGACGTTAAACCCTAAAAAGTAGATAACCGCTCAAAACCTGAACGAAACATGCAGTGACGGAGGGTAAGCAACTCAACAGCAAGAGAAAACGGCCCTGAATCCCAAACCCTAAAGAATATGGCGCGTGCAAAAACCCTGAACCCTAAAAGTAGATAACCGCCAACAAACCTGAACAATACGTTCAGTGATGGAGGTTTGGCAACTCAACAGTATAAGAGGCGGGTCCAGAATCCCAAACCCAATTGCATGCACAGAAAACCTAAACCCTAAAAGTAGATAACGGTGGAAACCAGAAAAATACATGCGGTGACATAGGGTAGGCAACTCAACAGTAAAAGGAGGGTCCCGAATCCCAAACCCTAAGGAAAATGGCGCGTGCAAGAAACCTAAGCCCTAAAAGTACATAACGGTAGAAACCAGAACAAAACATACAGAGATGGAGAGTAAGCAACTCAACAGTATAAGAAGAGGGCATCCAGCTCGAAGTCCCAACGGAACTGGCGTGTGCAGAGAAGCTAAGGCCTAAAAGTAGATAACCGCCAAAAACCTGAACGAAACATGCAGTGATGGAGGGTAGGCAACTCAACAGCATAAGAGGAGGGCCCTGAATCCCACCCCCGAAACAACATTGCAGGTGCAAAAGCCCTAAACCCCAAAAGTAGATGACCGCTAGAAACCAGAACATTACATGCAGTGATGGAGAGTAGGCAAATCAACAGTAAAAGACGACGCCCCTCGAACCCTGAAACTCGTGCAAAAATATAAAGCCCTGAAAGCACAACTGAAGCTGCACAGTAGATGGAAGTCAGGCAACTCAACTGTACAAGAGGCCCTGAACCCGAAACCGTAAAGAAGATTCTGCATGCAAAAAGCTAAACCTTAAAAGTAGACCGAGCCCCTCATGCGACACTCGTGGGATTCTGCTCGTGCTGCAGCTTGATACACATGCCGCAGGAAAAAAACATACACATGCCTGGCACGCTGCGAGGCAACCATGTGCAGGCCACAGGTCACATGCTACACCCACGCATCCTGCTCATGACATGCACATGCAAAGCATTCCTGATGGCTCACCCTTGTGTGCGGCGTCAGTGACTCCATCCCAACTTCTTGCACACGATCCAATCCCCCCGCTATATGCGCCGGTCAACATGAAACTAGCCTCGATGCAACTAGAGCTAACAACTTTCGTCAAGTTTCACGATGACGATCCTCCGTTCGGTGCGATTCGATCATTGTAAGACTCAAGCTGCATCGTTAGGATGAAAATTTCAATCCCGGGATCGTAGTATTGAATACCGTGCGAGAAGTCCCCAGGCTAATTCGGATGCCAAGGAAGAAATCGCGAAAAATGGTCCTCGGGCCAATCCCCAACGGATGCAAAACTCAATACAGGATACTCTGCAAGTTCTTCAAACTGGTCATACGCCAAACACCCAAATGGCACAGGAGGACCCTGAAGGCGACTGACTTCGATTACAGTCGCAGCATCTGGCTCATCAGCAGGGTAAAACTAAAAAGGGATCTGCCTCACGAGGGTTTAGACCCAGCTCAGGATTCGTGTTGGCGGGTGGGTGGGGCGTCTGAATCGCGACTGGTCGGACCCTGCAGAATCCGACATGGGTCAGTTGCAAGAGCGAGTCTGGGGCGGAGGGTTCGGCATTTTCACGGTTTGGGAGTTTGAGGGCCTGAGAGGTCGCGGGGCCGGAGAGTCTGGACCGGGGAGTAGGGCGTCAGTCGATGAGGGCGCACTGCTCCAGCCGAATATTTCTCGGAGCGAGCATGGGCTAGATGCAAGACTTGTTTTGGCTTCGAATCGCTGCACAGTAGCCGAGCCTCGCGAAAAGGTTAGGACGTGCGTAGCACGGAAACTGAGAAGTTGCTCGCATTTCCAGAAACCGAAACAAATAACCCACTCAAGTGTGTTTCCCCAAAGCCGACCGAAAGCACTAATTGAAATGGCACGTGCTAAACCTTAAAAGTAAATAACGGTAGAAACCAGAACAGAACATGCAGTGATGGAAGGTAGGCAATTCAACAGAATAAGAGGAAAAGGAACTGGCGTGTGCAAAAAAACTAAACCCTAAAAGTAGATGTACCTCAGGAGATGGAGGGTAGGAAACTCAACATTTTAGGAGGTGAACTAAACCCTAAAATAAATGATTGGAAGCAGTGGTGATGCTGCGTGGGTTGATGGCTTTTGCTTAGTTGCACGCTGGTGCTTGAATCGCCGGTGCTCGCGAGTGCCCCTTGCCTCAATCGCTCGCGCTTTGGGTACAGAATGGTTAATTAAGCATATGTCCCCCCTTCGCATGTGGATTCAGCGGGACCGAGAAGTGAATTGCACATGGTGAGCTGAGGGAAATGCCGCTTGAATCGACGGTGTGCTTCAATCACCAGTGCTGGAAAGAAGGGGGGATAGGCAATCGCTCACGGATGCTTTGCCATGGCCCCAGAACCCTCTAATGGATGACGCAATTTACAAATCGCAAACAGAAGGCAACATGCAAAGATCACTCGTCACCCTTGCCTCGTAGTATTTCACTGTATCTATTTAATACAAGCGGCAGAGACCCTGAGACTCTGGCCGAGAAAACACACCAACACGATCGAGGACTTGTTACCGTCTTGCCTGCAGACAGATTCGGAAGATGTCGCAGCCTAGGCAGGCCAAGCATGAAGTGCACGACTAGAAGACGGGGCTCCGACTCTTTCGCCGAATTCGATTCTGGTTGCTGAAGTTCCTGTAATTCACCAGGCAGGAACCCCGTAATAAGAGGTAGTTCGGGCACATCCCACCTGTGCAGGACCATGCAGCAAGCTCAAGGCCTCAGAAGACCCGTAAATTGCCGTAAATGCGACAATGGGTGCCTGCTACGAGACCCTGCTATTGCGCCAGGTGTTCTGGGCTCTGGGCATCTCGGAGACTCATCCAACCTTTTGGCTGGCTCCTGAGCCCGAGAGCCCGAATCTGGGAGAAGTGCGCTGCTAAGCCGCTGAGCCAAGACAGGAGAGGAGCAGGGCAGCAGGGCAGGGGGCATCCCGGCGTCCCTGGCCTTGTCATCTGCACCAGGCGTACACTCAAGGGAGCATAGCCTCGAGCTCAGCTCAACGGCCATGTCCAGAGACCCTTCCACAAGGGCCCCTGGCCACTGTAGGCATAGCTGATATCCTGGTCGGCGGCACCATCCTGAGTCTTGTCAAGAGTCGATCTGTGCTTTGACGGGACAAGATGCAGGAAATCCCGGCCTCCACGAAAAGATTGAACTGCCGCTTGATGGTGCTCCTCGGTTCGCGAAACAAGGGAGAAGGAAATCTATCCCGTCGCATGGCGCCGAAGACACATTCACGCGTGTCACGATCGTGCGGGGCTACGGCTGCCCGTCAGTTCCTGTCGAGTGATTCTGCCGAAACGGTGAGAGCCACCTCCAGACTCTAGACCGGCAAGTAATCCGGCGAATGGAAACAGCAACAAACATTCAGGAAGCTCGTACGGCTGATCAGACGCCGGTGAACGAGGACAAAATGGAATTGTGACGTTCCATTCCGAGAGCAATTAAACGACTCGCCCGAGACATGTGAAGCCTCACAGCCATTTGAGGCCAAAGCCGATCTAATTCCTTTCCTTGAGTCGTGGATACTCCAAGCTGATCGATGCCAAGCGCCGTGCCAGCCCGACTTGCCATGCTGGTATCGCAGGAGCCCAGCACCTGAAGGCAAAAAACATGATGGAAGCAAGACAAGAACGGAACCCCCCGAAGTTACCGGGTCCTCAACGTTCCATGTTTGCAAGCGTCAGCATGTGTTCGAACCCGTACGACCTGACAGCACATGTGAGGTGCCGGGAGAAGGCAGTGCTACCGGCAGAGCTTCCAGCTGCAGAAAGGTTCGCTTGAGCTGATCTAGCTGCTTCGCCTGTACCATCAACATGGGTCAGGGCCGTGAACGAGGCGAACAAGAAGCACCTTGATGCCGTTGTTGACCAGAGACAGTAAGCAGAGCAGTCGCAAAGCCTGCCCATTCACGCAAGAAGCCCGGACGGCACAACTTGCCGTGGGACTTGTGCGGCTGCAGAGAGGCAAACCGCACAGGCTTTGCGGTTGCTGAGCACTGTCCAAGGCCCAGAGCCTCGTGGAAAGGCTTCTGATCATCCATGATGTCCTAGCAAAACCGAGAAAGGGGACCCTAAACCCCCCCAGGCCGACCCAAGAGGGTCACAAAAAACCGCTCGTTGCGTCTCCTCCACGGTGTCCAGACAGCTCTGAGAGCTGGTGCTCTGTGCCGTGATCTCATCCTCTTCGGCTCTGAGTCAGAGTAGAAAGCAGACAGGAGAACGACGAGAGGTGTGCGAAGTACGAGTAGCGCTCTCCTCAAGCTTCAGCATCTGCCTGTAGTCCTTCGCGCTAGGTCTCTGAAGCCACGAGTGAGATCTGGTGCGAGGCCCGGCCTCAGACTGGATCTTGTCCTTGAGATCGTGAGCCAAATTAATGTGCATCTCCAGGAGGGGATGTGCTGACCTTACACACTCCAGCGGTGCGTTGAGCCGTGTCAAGGAAGTGGTCATGGGATCCAAGCTGAGCTGTCTTGAACTTCTTGATGTACTCGGCCATGTCACTCGCGCTCTTGTGCTTGACGTTGTCCTGCTTGCAAGCAACCGGTCAACTGCGAGGATCCAGCGCAAGCAAACATCAATGCGCGAGATTGATGGCTCCTTCTCTGAGTAGGTCTGCTGAACAGCACGAGCCTTCTCCTGCAAGATGCTTGACATCTGGCTGACCGCCAAGGCTCAATGAGCCCAAAATGGAAGATGGACCCACCATCCTCCAGCAAAGGTCCCAGCTTGTCGATGTGCAGATCGCGGATCTCCTAAGACGTCCGAGTATCATCGCCTTCTCCCCCACTGAAAGCCCGAGCTAGGCAGGAACCGTCCTGATAGAAAGGGTCATCAGGGGACAGGCGCACGGTCGAGTTGGCATTTCCACGGTCCTGAACCCACAGATCTGGCACGGAGCCAGGACATGCCCTATTGACATAGTTTTCAGAAGCTTCTGGTGTTTGCAAGATTCTGGGTTCGAGCTTCGAGTTGGTACGAAATGAAAGATAAGCATTCGATGAAACTTCGGTCAGGCTTTGGGATATCGGACTCGTGGTCTTTTTCGTGGATGTGGTGGATTTTACCACCTTCGCTCAGCCGTTTCCAAATCCCTGCAAACCGGCGGAACCGCATCGACAAAACCCGACCTGGCTTCAAGCTGCCTTGAGGCTTGTGCACTGATTCACCGCCAAATCGCACTTACAGCACACCACAGCCTCCATGCCTTTCCGCCGTTTCGCTTCCATTTTCGCAAGCATTTGTGGTTGCATCCCTCAACAAACTGGGCGCCTCAAGCGGCACTGCCCCCGCGAGACTGTTAGTGAGTTCTCCGACCAGCCATCGTGTCGCTCAGGCTGGCCGAAAAGCAACCCAAAACCTACACCGGTTATATCACTTGAGAGCGTCATTGGAAGAAGGGCTTGGAGGACCGCGAAGAAGTTTGGTCCCAGAGAAGATGTCTTTCGGCTTTCTATCTTGAACTTGGTGATGGCGCAGAGCCAGCTACACTAGCTTCGCTGCACTATGGTACCAGCAAGAAAATTGAGAATGGCTCTCGCCAACGTTCAATTCAAGCACAATTTCCGTACTTGCTCGTGGGTCATGCAGACAGCCAACTAGAACCCTAATAACTTTTTCAAAATTACAGGCCGCAGACCCTAAACCCTACATAGAATGAATAACCCATACGCCCTTGATCCTACGGCTCACAAAACTGGTCCCTATGGGCCCAGGCCGTCACCCAAACAAGGCAAAAGCCAAGCGCTAAAGCTCGAAAGCATAAACGCAAAGCCTAAAGCCCTGACCCGTAAATCTCACAAGCCCATCAACCCCGCAAGCCAACAGCAGTGAAGCGCTCAACTGCAAGCTGAAACTGGGAGTGAACAGAGCAGCATGTGGGACACAAAGTCCCATGCTGCCTTGGCCCAAGAGGCATTGCTGATGTCAATCCTCGGCAGGAAAAAGTAGTGGAAGAACAGTTGCTGTCAAGAAAGAAAAGGCTCTAGGTTGCCGGGCAAGTTGTTCTGAATACCATATGCGGAGTCGATGAGAGCCTTCGCAAAGGCTTGTCGTACCGTACACTCTATGAGACAGTGCATGCACTTCTGCCTGGTAGGTAAACTGGGAACACAGCACCGAGAAGAGGTCAACGCGACGATCGATGACCACCTTGACATGTGGCAGAACTGCGACAAAATCAATTTCGAACAAGCCTTAAGCAAGCAGCCAACTCGTTGATCCTGGTTGTCTTCGCTTCTTGCACCTGCCATGAAAATCCTAGACCTTGCAAGGCGCAGCTCTGCATGAGGCACCTCCGGTGAAGCACTGGCCAGTGCCGGCGACCTTTTGAAGCAGCTGGCTCTTCCGGCCGTGGCCCCCACGTCCGAGGCTGCTGCGTAAGTGATGCTTCCTCACGCCGCCTTTGAGGCAATGCAGCTTGTGAAAAGACAAGCGGAAACATACAAAACTGGGCCTGATGGCAGCAGCTCCCTTTGGGTGTGCTGCAACTGGAGGAACTCCCGGCCTCGTATCCGGAATCACCCTCCCGCGCCCACCCGCCGGCAGCTCAAGGACTTATGCATCGGGAACATCTAAGAACATCTGAGGGAAGTTCTGAATCTCAACCTTGCCAACAGTCGATAGCTTTGCCTGGAACTATACAGCTTGGGAAGGATCCAAGCGCAGCAGAAAGACGACGGAATGGCGGGGCCTGGCCAGCTTGATCTTCCTTTCGCAGTCGCTGCATGACTTCAACGACGACGCGACCCGCCTCGCTTGGATGGTTGTTGCTGCATTCAAGATCACACGGGCACCCCATACTGAGGCCAAGACCCCGCCGATAGCATGCACCGACGGAATGGTGCCAAACTTCTGCTGCAATGACCTTAAGAGTTTCACGTATTAAAAGCAGCCCTTTACCGGAGGGGGCAACAGGCAACAGGAAGGCCCCCTGCATCAAAGCCTGTGCCGCATAGAAGGGTCCAGATGGATCGCCGAGGACATGGAAATCGTGGTACCTCAAAGGATGGCAATCAGGCCCGTCAATTCCCTTGCTTAAGTCGGGAATCTGGCAGTCTAGGTGTTTCCATCGAGAGAACATCCTGCAGAATTACAGACAGGATGTCTCTTGTTGGCCCAAGATAGCACATGTCCTTGTCCGACGGGAAATGATGAATGGCACACTCCGTGATGCGCACATTGGCTTTCACCTCATCAGATCGCCAAACGATCTTGAAATTCTGCACCAATCATCCGTTGATGGGGCGCTGGCATTGCTGGCGGCAAGACGCTGAACGCACTCCTCGTCACCAACTAATTCGCAAAACAGCAAGCTAAAGGTCACAACGAGACAGCTCCTATCTTGTGTGAGGCTGATCAAAACATGAACAAGAATCTGAATGAAAGGCTTTTGTACACTGTCCACATGGAGCTGCCATCTTGAAAGCAGGAAATTCGGGAACATTCTGGGCTGTTGATGCCAAGTCCACTGGGGAAATCCCTCTTAAGTATATATTCCCAGCCTGTTGCTGTGCTCGTTTGTTTGCAGGTGCTGCGCACCGCTTGAAACCCGTGACAGCGGCACGAAATAGAAGACTCGCAGTTTCCCAGCCCTGTCCTCAGTTTTGTTCGGCACGAACACAGCCACGTACAGACGCTCCTGCCAAGGAAGCACAGGCCACAGGCGGGAGGGTTTTCCAGCTCGATCGATGCCTTCTGCTCCTTTTCATCCGCAAGGATCTGCTTCGCCATCATGTCCACGAGTTCCTCCGACCGCTGGGTAGACTCCACTGCAAAACCCTACCCGAACGGCAACCGAAGAGGCCCTGGCAATCCGAGCACATCGCACAAGGAATATCATCTGTGAGCAGTCTGCCGCAACCTGAAAGCGAACTGAGCGGCTTTGCTTCCCTGCCTAGAACTCCTCGGCCCATATCATGACAGAGCCAAGGACTGTCTGGTCGGACAGTTTGTGCCTGACAGCTTAGGTTGCAATCTGGTTCCACGGATCGCAACAAGAGCGCGCCATTGCTGGACTCCATGATCTTTCAGATCGCTTGGGCTGACGATGAGATCCAAAGGCCCAACCTTTGTGCGACGCAATGTGTCACCTTTTCGGCCCCTACTCAGGACTAAAACTCGACTCCGGATCTCTAGCTCAGGCTCGAACAATTGTGCTATCAAGCAGCAAGACTTTGCGGCCAGTCACCTTGCAAGCAAATCTGCCAGAGAAACTGGAGAAGGCTGCCGACGATTCGACACAACGCCTCATCTAGCAAGTCCAGTAGGCGTGCACGTACATCTGCACGCACCTCATGCGCAAGAGTCTACCAAAGACTCGTGATAATGGCCGTTTGAGTTTGAAGCTGCTTCCACAAGCTCCGTCACAGCCGAGTCCATGCGACGTGAGCCGAGCCTAGGCTAAGCTTGAACGCGGGTTCTTCGGTCACCACTGTTGCCACAAAGATGTTAGCTCCCGACACGCTTCAAGAAACGCACGCTGCTGCATGAGGAGCTTCTGCCAAAATACTGCGTTTCCCTTATCGTCCGGAAAGTGCTGAGCTGAAGCACTGCCAATTCTCTGCAACAGTTGCGACATCGTATTTGCCACAAGGCTGGCTTGCTCTTCATGGATGATTCAGCGTCTTCGCACATGTTGAGCCACGTGTCCAGTCAAAAGAATCGCACCAATCCGTGAAAGAAGGCGAACGCTCCAAATGCAGAAACCGAGGAATGCGCACGATGAGGACAGGAGATGCTCGCCAACCACCTGTCAGGACTCTGATTGACGATCTCTGACCATCCCCCGCACTGCTCAGAGGTCTGTGCTTGTACGCGAATCAACTGCTTTCCTCAACCTTTTTGCGCACAAGACTTGCATCGCAGTGTCCGGGGAGGCGCCCCGTTGGAGTGCCGGCACCTTGCATTCGATATCATTCGATGCTTCTCGGAGGGAGCTGACTTGCAGCAAGTCAATGTATGATGTCAGCAAAGGTAGCTCCCTCTGTTTCTTGCCGTGCTTGATGCTTGTGCAGCTTACTAGTACAGGCCAATCATGTGTAGATTGGACGCGCTGGCTGATTGTCCGCAAGAAGAGAAGAGTACACTCCTGCATCCAGCCGGAAGCGCCAGCATGTTAGGCTGAAGATGCTGGAAAAGTTATCAAACAGTTGGTGCCGGGGGGTTCCCGTCCTCGGCAAGACCATACTGACTTGCTCAGACGAACGTGCACTCCCAAGTGGTGAGTAGAGTGGTGCAGCATTGACTGCTGTGGCACTCTGTTCTACGGACAGAAGACGTCGATCCAACAAGGCTTACTGATGGTTCAAGGTACCCGCAGCAGTCAGCAAGGTGCAGGTCTGCCGGCTGCAAGCTCACGCTGCATGCTGTACTCTGCGGTCCCATCAACCCCAAGACGCAGACGAAGTCGAAGCTACAACAAAAAAACAGCATTCTGCACACCACACTCGGCAGGATGGGCCTGGGGTCTGCGGGCCCAAGACGCGCAGCATGAGTTTGCACACAAGCATCAAGAAAGCTTGGTCCGGACACCTGCCAAAATGCAAGAGACGCTTCAGGTGCCGAAGGAGCCCAAAAAAAACACTTGATGGCCCCAAGCCCCAAGGATCGCAAAGGCCATGCTGCTTAACAGCACAGGGCCGGTAGCCAATGGTGAATTCGACGTCGCATCGTCGGAATACAGCGGTACTGTTAAAGCCCGTAGTGAGAGTTCCGTCGTGGGCGGCTGGCATGGCCAGGCAACGAATCCACGAGGTTCTGCGCATGCTATTAGACATAGTTCCAAACAATATCCGGCGCCCCGCCAATCTCCTTCATCAGAGACTGATAAGGGACGCACTTTCATTGTTGAAACGAACACGGAAGAAGTCCTGGTATCTGCCGGTAAGCTCCAGTACAAAAGAGGCGTTGCTCACCGTGCCTGGAAATGGATGAGGAACCCCTCCAATATGCGCAATGAAAAGTTGCATCTGCCCAGCTCCACTCGCCCTGTGGCCCGAGCCTGCTGCACCGATCGCAACCGGAGCAGTGAGAGGTGGACAGACTCCTGAACAACGCCACGACATGTAGACTTAGACTGCAGTCTGCGGCACAGCTCTGGCCACCGTCACTCCTGCTATCGGCTCCTCGCTTGTCACCTGCGCGATGACATCCTGCACGCAGCCAGCAAGCAGTTGCTTGACAAGTCTCGGTTCCTACCAGACGGTGAGCTTCCTCCATGGCATCGTGGCTGCTGCATACCAGAAGCAGACGAGCACACCGCTTATAAGCAGCCTGTCAAGCACTAACTGTGCTTCACATACCGCATCATCTGGCATTCATCATGAGTTCGCCTGCGCATCCGCTATGGCAGCAGCTTGATCTGCGCCCCACAATAAAACTCGCTTTTGCGTGAGGCTTCTCACATAGTCTGTCGACCAACCTCACAAGAGGCCAATTCTCAGCTCTCTTCTAGCGGTGATTTCCATCACGCCTATGGGAACATCACCAGGCGTGCTCTGGGCAGTCGCCTGTTCAGAGCAGGTCGAGGAAAACACGGCGAGGGAATGTGTACGTAGCTTTCGCTGCTTCAGCTACATGACGGAAGGCAGCTGACAGATCAAGACTAGGTAAAGCAATAAGCATGTCTTCTCCCTGGCAAGACGTCTAGGAGAGGTATGACGAGGCAAAGGGTGATGAGGAAATGGAGACAGGTCCAGAGTTTGCAAGACGAATCTGGCAAGAGCTCAAAAACTTCACCCGCCGGACAGATGCCTGGATACATCAGTACTTCCGGGAAGTGCCTGGCACTACGCATCGGGCTGGCAGTGGAGCTGCTAGCTGTTTTTTCAATCTTTGCAGGACATCTCAGTCTGTGTCGATGTTTGGCCGCTGTTAGTTTGGGCTACTTCCTCTGTGTACGAACGTGGAATTAAATTGAAACTGTCAGCAGAGAAACAATACACCCAAGCTTTCTGTTGATCACTTCGCATACAGGAGCTGTCAGCAAGAGCAAGCTATGAAACACCTGGACTGGAACAGCGTTTCATCCGGCATAACAGTAAGCACGCATGTTTTCCAAATATGCAACTTGAGGGCCAGAGGCATGGAGAACGAAAGCTGGCTCTTTTTTACAGAAGGACTCGACGGCTGCACACACGCAAACGCAGAGAGACATGGCTGCACTGCACAAACACTTCACAAACAAGTACTGATATATCAATTTAGACCCCCCCCCCTCCCCCCCCTCAGGAAACCAGAGATTCGCATGAACCTTTCAATTTCACCCC